TTGGGATCCATTCGGAAGCCCACTACCAATGAAATTCGTGGAAATGAAAATAGGAGAAAAAAAATACGTGGAGAGTAGCAGTCATATGTAATGTGTCAAATGGATCGTGTCGCACTTCTTGTTTTTATTTTTTTATAAGCATACATTTGGATTTTTTGCGGTTCCCGGCATCATGCAAAACCGAATGGAAATTTCCAGATAAAGAATCGAAAAAAACAATCTAGATAACATTGGAAAGATAATCCAACCGGGCCTTAAGCTGACAAAAACCTCTCCAAAAAGGTCCTTTTGTAATGTCTCCTAAAGCCCCTCATTACCGAGAAATTTGCCTAATTAACAACTGACATTTTGAATACGCCTCGAATCATTTCACCATTCCCCCATTACCTATACAGTTTTTGTTAATTATGCATTTACTTCAGTTGCCAACCACTCTGCGAAAAACATCAAAGAGCCTTTTTCAAAGCTGACAAAATCCTCTGCAAAAAAGTCTATTCGTAATTACAGCTAAAGCCCCTCATTATCGAGATAATTCAACATTTACCCACATGCAAAATTTTTGCCTGAATCAAAAAACTCCCAGCTTTCCTACTGAATTATTGCTATTCCTAGAAAAAAATGCTTGAAGCTGTTCTCGTTTCGACATTGTTCATCGGGAAATCAACAATGCATGCAAACAATCGAGAGCCAAAACGAGAGACAATGATAAAAGCACGAGCAGAAACAAACAAACGGAAGGATTTATGACAAGACATATCCTTGCGTTTGTCTTTAGGATATTGTTATACGTACGCGTGTGTGCGCATGCCTATGTAATCCACGCAATTATTTCCACTGTAAGTAGCATTCATCCTTCCCACCCCTCTCTACTCCTCACCCCGGGCTCTCTCCTAAATTTTAGATTTTAAGTCCACAAAAAGGGAAAGAAAATGATAAATGGAAGAAGGTTAACGAGTCAACGACGTGATTCATGCCAAATTTCCCAAATTGAAAATATGGAAAATATTAACTGAAATGCTCGACGAAAAGAGAGAGAACTGAAGATAACTGATGAGAAAATCAAATAAAATGATAAAATGAAAATATATTGATATTATAAACAATAATTGTGTGTTTATTACGAGCCTCGAATTATATCCCAAATTTCTCAGAAAGTGTATAAATTATTACATTATTACATTACATAATAATAATCCGATAAAATTTTCAGTCTCCAAATCTCAATTTCTGTCATTTATTCTATTCATTCTATTAAAAGACAAGGATAGGAATTGAATTTATGGGTATTTCATTATTCGAAAAAATGTATCGATTTTAAAGCGTTCGGGAGACATTGAAAAATTAATTTTTTTGATTCTTCCCGCCTACGTTTTTTTTACTTTTTGCTTCCGAAGGGAAGCATTGTTTTTGGTCGATTTTTCGATTCTCTAATTTTGGTTGCAAATGGTCCACAACGTCATGAAACGTAAAGAAATGGTGTTTTTAGGGGAGTGTCTGTATGTATGTGTGTGCAGATTCAGGTTTTTGGTGATTCAATTTTAGAAAATTCAACGTAAATACGGTGAAATTTGGAGGTAAAAATTTGCAATTTCGGCTCATGATAGCTATGAATGAGTCTCACTTTGGTGCTTCGTTTCAGCTCGATCGGTGAAGTAGTTCCTGAGATATAATCACTTGTTTAAATTTCGTTTTTCCGCAATATCTCGCCAACAACTGCACCGATTTCAATTTTTTTTTCGAACTACTCGTCTCGATGGCCTCTATCTAGATCACTCATATCATATATACCGATTTGTGCAAAGTTTGGAGATATTGCCGTTTATCCGTTTTTTCATAAAAAAACACTGTACGCGCGATAAGTCAATGAAAAAACGAGCTAGCGACTTGAAATTCGGTATTCTGCTAGCTTTTGTAACATAGACGGTTCGTATTTTCGATGAGGTTAATCGGTCGAGCGGTTCGCGAGATATTCAATTTTTTGTGAAAATCTATTCTGTCAAATATCTCATTAACTACTTGTTTGCATTTCTTTTCGTTAAAATTAGATCATAAAATTCCAAAATATTCGTATCCCATCCACATTCCAAGAAAAAACAATGATTTAAAAATATCAATATTGTAGTTCATTTCCATGTTAATTTCAATTATATTAGATCATGGGAAATTGGAAAAATCAGTACAGCATACTAATGCATAGTCAACGATTTTGTATTCGATTGCTTTCCAGAGTCTGAGGAAGCTTAAATACAAAGCGAAACGTTGTTCATTGATTATGTATTAGTATGGTGTACTATTTTTCCAATTTCCCCTGATCTAATACAGGGTGTCCCATCGGAAAGTGAGAAAAAAATGTTCGAAACACAATTTGTAGGGTTGCGAGGGGGACATTCGATACATGCATTATTTTGAGCTTCCAGGATTATGCTTGCAAGCTGCAAGCACAAAATACTTTTTTTTAATGGCAACCGTATTTTTCCCCTTAATGAAACTGGTTCCTCTTGATAAGTTGTTTTCAGATACCTCATCATTCATGTAATTTTCTCTAATTTTACTCGAAAATGCCACAAAAACAAGTTCTGTTGTCAAATTGAAGATTCAGACTTTTTTTTAGCGTGACACACAAGATGCACCACGTGGAGGTAAAGTCTTCTTCACATCGCTTGTGCTAAAAAAAAAAGAAAAAAAAATAGCGCGAACATGGGATGAAGTCCTTGCAAGCACAATTCAGTTCGACGGCGGAAATTTTCAACAACCCTTCGAAGAACTTGTGGAGTAATGATTGCAACAGCCTCCGTGATACCTCTCTGTAAATCCACTGGAGTGGTCGGTCGATTTGTGTAAACAGCATCTTTGACGAAGCGCCACAGGTAGAAGTCGAGGGGCGTAAGATCCGGTGATATCGTGGAGGCCGCAAAATGTAACCACCTCGATCAGTCCGACGATTCGGGAAGGCGCGTCAAGGATGTGTGAATATTCAATTTGACAACAGAACTCGTTTTTGTGGTTTTTTTCGAGTAAATTAAAGGAAATCACGTGAATAATAAAGTATCTGAAAACAATTCATCAAGAAGAACAAGTTTCATTAGGGTGAAAAATGCGGTTGCCATTAAAAAAAAAAGTACTTTGTGCTTGCAGCTTGTAAGCATAATCCTGAAAGCTCAAAATAATGCATACATCGAATGTCTCCCTCGAAACCCTACAACTTGTGTTTCGAACATTTTTTTGTTACTTGCCCGCCTTAGGAGATATTTGGCTACTTTGTTTGAGATGGGACAACCTGTATAAGTGATTTCAAGTTTCCACTGACAGAAGTGAAGAGCTACTAATTTTCTCCATCTTTTAGCTGATCATTGTTAACGCTTTTTAAAAATTTTTAGTCTGCAATTCATGATTTTTGCAATTAATTCCGGAGACATTGAAAAATTAATTTTTTTATTTCTTTCCGCCTATGTTTTTTTTGCATTTCTTTCATTTCTTTTCGTTAGACCATAAACTTTTAAATTATTCATAGTCCACCCATATTCGAGGAAAAAACAGTGATTCCAAGTTTCCATCGACAGAAATGAAGAAAAACTAAATTTCTCCATTTTCTAACCGATCATCCCTTTTAAAAAATTTTCAGTCTCCACTTCGTAATTTTTGCAATTCATTGCCATTTATGTAATTCTATTCATTCTATCAAAAGACAAGGATATGAATCGAATTTATGGTTCTTTCATTATTCAAAAAAATATATAGATTTAAAAACTCTCCGGAAACATTGAAAAATTAATTTTTTTAGTTCTTCCCGCGCACTTTTTTTTGCATTTTTTAAATTTCTTTTCGCAAAAATATTTTTATCCCTCTAATCCTTAAAGAAAAAAAGTAATTCGAAGTTCGTGCCGACAGAAAAGACGAAAAAAATCCATTTTCTAGCCGATTGTCCCTTTCTGATTTATTTTTCATTTCCTTTCTATAATAATAATAATTGAAATCCAACCATAGGAATGAGGAGTACCAATATCCTTTGAGTTTGCTGGGAGACACCAAGCGGGACGGTCGCTCGTCTGATGCCTCGTTATAGGATATCTATCATAACATCAGAAATATCCTCTCCTAACATCTATCCGTGCTTTTTTCTCTTCTTTCTTTTTCTCATCTCTTTATTTCTATAATTGGCTCTCCGATAATTAATAGCGGACTTGGACTCCGCCAGCGAACTCCGTAACGGAAAATGTGGTTCATCCGTTTTCTTGAAGTGCATTGTTTGAAGCGTGTACAGTTTGAGTATACCAAATAATTGATATCTGACAGTGAATATTTAATTATTGTGGAACGGGTTTTTGGAACTTTCATTGTTGTCATTCGTTGATCTCAATTTGAGATTTGAAGATAGTGCAATATTTCGGGTTGAGGTATCCATGAAGGGACACACAAAGGAATTTCTTAGATTAAGACTACTAGTACTCAAAACAACAAAAATCGAAAACATCTACAGGGCCAGCGACAATGTTTATATCATTTGAAGACTATAGACGAGCTGACATCGAAACCGAAAAAAGAAAAGGAAATAGAAACATGATTTGAATATTGAATAAACGCAAGTACGTCTGTTACGCCCTATTTTGGATATAATACGAACCAAAAAAAATTGGAGAATTGAAGCTTGTCTCTATTGGAACAGAGATATATTCATTTGGAATTGAAGAAGAAGACCGATATCCTTTTACCATATCAAGGGAAAAATAGATTTAGAAAATCAAAATTCATTTAGAAAATTTATCCGAATAATTTTTTTGTATTTTTTTTTATCACAAAAAACACTTTTCATTGATCTTTAACATAATTCCTCTTCATTAAAAGTTGTAACTTGTGAATTAAGGGAAAAAAATATATATATATAATAACAATAAGAATGGTTCAAACTAAATTAATCTAATTGTGAAGACGAAAATGGAAAGAAAATAAAATAGTATATTTTATATTAAAATTTATAATTTCAATAAAAATGAACACACATCTCGGGGGGAAAATTATTTTATTATTTTGGAAAAAGTTTTATGGCTTAAGTTTCAACGTTTGGCAATGAATTATTGTTACAGTTAGTTTTTCACTTTTAATCCCTGATTATTATCCATTTAATTGCTCCATTAGTCATTTTTTCTACTCGATTTGTCGAAATTCTTGGAGGAGGATGAACTCGATGTGTACTTGCTGGAGCTCGTGCTACTGCTGCGTTTGTCTCCTTTACCTTTTTTAGTTACATCTTTTATTCGTCTATCACCGGTGATTATGTTGATACTAGGGGTCATTTTGGATGCTGCTGAGTCTGTTATCACTGAGTGGCTGAAGGAGCTTTTGTATTTCTCTGAATGCTTGGAACCTGGTGAGTAATTGAAGAATTTATTATATTATCTTGTGATTGAGTGAAGAAAGATGACCGAAGAATTCACGTGCAATAAGGAACTTGCATGGAGCTAAGTTTCCCCTAATTAATCCAAAATAAATCCTATTCACCCATTCTACATAATCCATAGACGGACACCGGCATAATCATAAATTTTTAATAAAGTTAAATTTTGAATAAGTCAATTGGTAAAATTATTCAACAGTTTTTAAATTATTAAATTTCTCATCAATGAAATGTTCAAATTCCGAATCATTTTATCAATCAATAATTGAGTTCGGAAGATTGACGATTATTTGGCTATTCAAAAATCTTTTCTATGAAATTTAGAATTCTTTATGTAATAGTCAATTGACAATTCCATATTGTCAATTATTTAATTCATAGTCAATTGAAAATTTAGTTTACAATTATTATATTATTTTTCAAATTTCAATGAAGATACGTAAACCTTGAGGATATCCAAGTATCTTTTACAGTTTGGTACAGACTACACTATAAATTCAACCATTTTCCCACTCTGTGACCCCCACAATTGTTCCTTGACATTTGAAAAAAACTGAGGGTGTGTGTGTGATGCAACAAAAACACACATACACACACGTGTTTCTGGAAATGACTGAAAAGGAATCTATAGACCTTGAAATGCCAACATTTGATGAAAAATCGAAAATCAATTTTGGGGGGTGATTAAAATAACTCTTCCTATCAGGAAGTTAATTAATACAAGTTCCCTATTCATTTCAGTAGCGAACCGATAAAATAATTCATGTCAAGAAATTTTTCAGAACTTTCTCGGAAATTTAAGAGAGATAGCGAAATTTTCAGGATAATCTCTCTTGTAGAGTGAATTGAGAGCTATAAAAAAAGTTTTAACAAAAATTTCGCTATCTGCCTTAGATTTAGAGATATTCATTGAAACCTGACCAACCATCAAAATCGATTTAAGGCCCGGGTGTACTATCTTTCGAACGTTATCTCGATGTTTTTTTTTATCTTTCGTCATCTGAAATTGTCAATTGAGTCCTGCATCATGCAGAAGTTTTGAAAAATTATGAAATGAATAATCAAAAAAAGTAGAAGAAATTCTTAATTTTTTCAAAGAGCATTTTTAATTTATATTCAGAATAAGTTGAATAACAAGAAATTGAAAAATGTATCTCATTTACGGTGACAAATGGCGGCCTGTCACCCAATATCATGCAGGGGGAAGACTGATTTCGTAAATCTTTTCCCACACTGCACAGACATTTATTACGAAAAAGGCTCTTTGAAAAAAGTTGTAATATTTTGGAGAATTTTTTAATCATACTTTTATCACATAAAAATGGCAGATGGCTACATACCACTGTTTTGAAAATTGAGATACCTAGCTGTCACTTCCCATGAGGAGTTAGTGTTTTGTTATCCACCATGGAAAATGACAGCTAATAGATAATTTGCAACAGCGAATCAGATATTTGTAATTTCCACTTTTTTCAAATCATTCTGAATCTCAACTAAAAACGCTCTTTGAAAAAGTTTAAAATTTTTTCTATTTTTTTTATCATTCTATCATAATTTTTGGGAATTTCTACATGATGTACCACTCAATTAACAATTTTGGATTACGAAAGATAAAAAAAATCCAGATAGCATTCGAGAGATAATACACCCGGTCCTTAAACAGTTTTAACGCTTGGCTACTGAAATATATTTATATCCAATTGAAACTCACTAGAAGTTGACTTTTTCACATCTTTTTTGCTGTCTATCAGTGACTTTGGAGGTGGCTCATCCTTTGCAGGCTGCACATAAATAAATAAAAAACATGAATAACTTCAGAAGTCCAAGAAAACTCTAAAGACTACCCATAAAACGAACCTGATGTGTCTTGATGCAGTTCGAGCAATACCAGAGTGTCTTCGGTGCATCAACCTGCGCGTCCGGAATCTGGGGTGTGTGACACTCCTGGTGATAGAGGGCGTAACAATCACCACACTCGACGAGTCTGTTCCTCGCTCCCGCTTTCGTTACCTTGCAAATGACGCAGGGCAAGTCGTCCCCAGAGACAGTCCCTATTGGGAAGTTAATTAATCCAAGTTCCCAATTTATTTCCGCAGCGAACCAATAACATAATCCATGTCGAGAAATTTTTGAGGAATTTGCCTGAATTTAAGAGATAGCGAAATTTTCTCTAATAATCTCTCTTGTAGAGTGAGTTGAGAGCTACAAAAAATATTTTCACAAAAATTTCGCTATCTGCTTTAGATTTCGAGATATTCATTGAAACCTGACCAATAGTCAAAATCAATTTAAGGCTCGGGTGTACTATCTTTCGAATGTCATAGGGATTTTTTTCATCTTTCATAGTCAGAAATTGTCAATTGAGTGGTACATCATGTAGAGATTCTCAAAAATTATGACAGAATGATGAAAACAAAAATAGAAAAAATTCTGAACTTTTTCAAAGAGCGTTTTTAATTGAGATTCAGAATGAGTTGAAAAAAAGTGGAAATTACAAATATCTGATTCGCTGTGGCAAATTATCTATTAGTTGTCATTTTCCATGGTGGATAACAAAACACTAACTCTTCATGGGAAGTGACAGCTGGGGATCTCAATTTTCAAAACAGTGGTATGTAGTCATCTGCAATTTTTATGTGATAAAAGTGTGATTAAAAAATTCTCCAAAATATTACAACCTTTTTCAAAGAGCCTTTTCCGTAATAAATGTTTCTGTGCAGTGTGGGAAAAGATTTACGAAATCAGTCACGCCCATGATATTGGGTGACAGGTCGCCATTTGTCACCGTAAATTAGATACATTTTTCAATTTCTTGTTACTCGACTTATTCTGAATATAAATTAAAAATGCTCTTTGAAAAAATTAAGAATTTTTTCTACTTTTTTTAAATTAGTCATTCATAATTTTTCAAACCTTCTGCATGACGCAGGACTTGATTGACAATTTCAGATGACGAAAGATAAAAAAAACATCGAGAGCACGTTCAAAAGATAGTACACCCGTGCCTTAAACAGTTTTAACGCTTGGCAACGGAAATATATTTATATCCAATTAAAACTCACTAGAAGTTGACTTTTTCACATTTTTTTTGCTCTCTATCAGTGGCTTTGGCGGTGGCTTATCCTTCGCAGGCTGCACAGAAATAAGAAAAAACCATGAATAACATCGGAGGTTCAAGAAAACTCTAAATACTACCCATAAAACGAACCTGATGTGCCTTGATGCAATTCGAGCAGTACCAGAGTGTCTTCGGTGCATCAATCTGCGTGTCCGGAATGTGGGGTGTGTGACACTCCTGGTGATAGAGTGCGTAACAATCAGCACACTCGACGAGTCTGTTCCTCGCCCCCACGTCCATTACCTTGCAAACGACGCAGGTCAAGTCGTCCTCTAGGATTTCACCCAATGGATCATCACTGATTAACAGATCAGGAGGCGTTCGGGCGATCAGCTCCTCGGGGGAGTCACTTTTACTGGATTTATGGGAGTGCTTGGACGATGAGCTCGAGCTCTTGCTCCTCTTGCTACTGGTGCTGCTGTGGTCACTGAGGACGGGCTCCTCCATCGTATACTGAATAATTTAATTAACCAATTTCACTATATTTAACACCACTATAATGAATTCAGTAGCGAAGTGGTAAAACGGTTTATCAAAGTCGATTCATCTCCCAGTTGAATTTTTGAAGAATATTTGCGAATTTAAGAGAAATAGCGAAATTTTCGTAATTACATTCCTTGTATCGCTCAATCGGCTCTATAAAAAAGGTTATAACAAAAAATTGCTATCTCCCTTAGATTCCGAGATATTCATTGAAAACTGGCCAGTAGTCGATAATGACTTATACCGTTTTACCACTTCGCTACTGAATTTAATTTAATGAATAATCATAGTGATGTATTTTGCAGGGGAGTTATGAGAAATAATTTGAGAATGCAAAGGCAGAGTAGGAGAATGTGGGGCTAACTTTTGACGTTTTTGCTTTTGAATGGACTTGTTTTTGACCGATTTTTCGATTTTCCAATTTTGGGTGCAAATGGTCTAGAATGTTATAAAACGTGGAGAAATGGTTTTTTGAGGGCCATGTCGGTATGTATGTATCCAACAACGTGGCTTTTTGGTGATTAATTTTTAGAAAATTCAACATATTAATACGATGAAATTTCTAGATAAACAAGCGGGGGTAGCGAGCATATGATAGTGAACATGTCACTGGGTGATGTTTTGATTCTTCGCCATCAACAAATTCATAGTATGCTTCTGAATGGTTTCAGCATAATACATTTTTTTCACTCTCGGATATTTCTCTCCATTTTTGCAGTTTATGCCTCCCCTCCCCCCCATCCAAACTCTTTCTAATGCAAATTTTCTAATGCATTCTGATGCAAAAAGGAAACTTCCTGCCAAATTTCAAATCAAAGTTAATATGTCGATGTTTGCAAAAATGAGAGTGCTAACAAGGATTTTGAACGAAAAACCGAAAAATGTAAATATCTCGAAAACTTTGTATGAACGGGTATGCATATTTTGATTGATTGAGATAGAAGATATCAAGACGAATATTTTGAAAAAAAATTTGAAATCGATTTAGTAGTTTTTGCAATATTTGCGAAAAACGATTTAGAAACAAATGGCGATTTGTCGAAAACGGCTGAATCGATTGGGTTGCAATTTAGCACAAAGTTAGTTATCATTGATACTTATAATCTGACAAAATTTCACATTTTTTGGAATCATTTTAGTCCTTTAATTCTCCAATTTTCTAAAAGATGACCACCAGGTGGACACTATCGCATACACACAAGGTGGTCAAATTTCGTATTTTTACGTTTCAGACCATTTTACATCATTTCCAAGCAAAATTAGACAATCGAAAAATAGAACGTTTTCAATGCTTTCATTCAGAAGCAAAATCTGAAATTTTGGCTCATTGCAGCTATTATTGAGCTCAACTTTGGCGCGCTGTTTCAGCCAGACCACACACATGAAAAGATTTAATAGAAAAATCTATCGAATTCGTTAGAAAATTCTATTGAATTTCTATTAAACGTTCTATTAGTTTTTGGCTGATTCTATTGACATGTTCAATAGAAAACATTCAATAGAAAAAGTCAACAGAATTCGATTGTTCTACATAACTTATTCTTTTCATATATTTTTTTATAGAATTTGCTCGACTCAAAGTTTCTAAGTTTTTTTCATTCTATTTTTCTTTTCTTCTCATCATGAAAATGAAACGAAAAAACATAAAAAATTTGAGCCGAGGAAATTCTATAGAAAATATCTCAATAGAATAAGTCATACAGAGAAATTGAATTCTATTAAGGGTATTATGGCGGGGTCCATAGCTGGAAAAAGAATCAGAGAATTCAATGAAAATTGCTGAACAGATTATTCGATCCATTTGAAAGCCGTGTGCAAAATGTCAAGACTCTTACTTAAACAATAATAATGGGAATAATTTTTGAAATTGCTACTTATACACGCAGTTGAATGGGGCATCGGTAATTTTTGTGAATTTGCTACGTTATCGATAGATCAATAACGTAGGAAAAGCACTAAAATTACCAATGCCCCATTCAACCGCGTGTATAAGTAGAACTTCAAAAATTATTCCCATTATTATTGTTTAAGTAGGGGTCTTGACATTTTACACAAGGCTTTCAAATGGGTCGAATAATCTGTTCAGTAATTTTCATTGAATTTTCTGCTTTTTTTTCCAGCTATGGACCCCGCCATAATACCCTCAACTTTTTCTGAATACTTTCTATTGAACATTTCAATAGAATCGGCCAAAAACTAATAGAACAGTTCAATAGAGTTTTCTAACGAATTCGATAGGTTTTTCTATTAAATTTTTTTGTCCGTGCTGTCCAGTAGTTCCTGAGATACAAAAACTTGTTTAAATTTCTTTTTGCCTCAATATCTCAAAAACTACTGCACCGATTTCAATTTTTTGTTTTAAAAATACTCGTCTCGATGGCCTCTGTGTAGTCAGTCAGTCAGAAAATGATTATTCTCGTCAGTTCTCCCAACAGTGAAAAAAGTTAATAAAAAAATTGTTGATAAAAACAATTTTTTTTTGCTTCAATTGCGAAAAATCGTTTTTCGACTGTTTCATTTTGCCCCACTCTCCCCTACCTAAACCGTTTAAGGGCTTCGCTACTGAATTCAAAGTTGAGCGCTCAAAACACGCAAGACTGACACGTCACAGCAGCGCAGGTCACACGTGCGAGAGAGACCTTGCGCGTCACTTCTACCGGGTTCCACTTGAGAGTGAGAGACAGCAACTTCTCTGCTGTGACGTCACAATCCTGCTTGAGGCCAGCAAAAAAGCGTACTTTTCAATCAACGATTTCTCGTTGAAAAATGCGACTTTGAGGATTCTAAACATTACTTTTGAGATTGTTACAACTTGTAGATTCAGATGAAAAAATAAAATATAAATGCGTATGATTCCTGTTGTAAAATAATGCGTCAAGATAAATGAAATGAGATGATTTGAGAAAGTCACATGCCGCTCATTTTTTCAATATCTTAGAAATAACAAAATTCAGAGGAATACATCACAGAGTTTTTGTTGCCTTTGAAATTCTCGATTAAAAGGTCGTCTGATGAATTTCCCGAAACCCCTTCACTCTTGAAAAACTTGGAAAAAATTGAAATGAATTAAAAAAAATTTTTTTCAGAAACTTTCATGTAGCTTATTTTTACAATGTCTTGAAAGAAAAAGGTTCTGGAGAATTCATCAAAGAATTTTTTTTAGTTTTCAAAAATCGCTACAAAATTTTTTTTTATGAGAATTTACCAGAGGACCTTGTTTGCAATCCTTGGAATTTAATCCCCCAGTGAATTCACCTACACCTCTTCATTCCGAAAATATTAATAAAATAATAGGTTGGATTGAGTAAAATGAAATACTTCAAAAATCTCATGCATCTTCATTTGAAAATATGTTAGAAATAAAAAGGTCTAGAAAAATCCATCAAAACACCTTTTTTGGAGCTCTTGGAATTCTCTACAAGAAAAAACTCTTCTCGAGAATTTACCTAAACCTCTTCACTCCAAAGCTATAAACTAAATAAGTTGAAATGAGTCAAATTAAATTCTTGAAAAACCCTATGCATTTTCTTCTACAAATATCTTAAAAAAGAAGAGGTTTAGAAAAATTCATTAGAAGACGTTTTTTCTATCTCTCCAAATTTTCTACAAAACCAGTCTTCTGATATATTCCCCCAATTCCAGCCTCCTCAAAATTATTGGCAACATAATATGTTAACGTGAATAAAATTCCCAGATTCCCAGAAAAATGCCACAAAGATTATTACAAGAAACCGTTGAATGAAAATTCTGTCCAAAAAAGTCCCCTAGGCAATTTATCTAAACCTCTTACCCCAGAAATACTAACCCCTCACGGACGGGGCCCTTCTGTTACCAAGCGTAGTGTGTACTCAATACAACTCAAATTCGATTATTTCTAATGAATGAAAAATTATGAAATCGGTATCTAATTGAAGCTACAGTATTCCGGTTTCCAATTTTGTTTGTTTGATCCAGTTATTCTTTATAGATTTGGAAATAATCAATTTTGAAAACAAGCGTTGACATTCGCATGGGTCGATCCCATGGATCGACCCACAGTAGATTGAGATGAGTAAAATGAAATGTTTAAAAAATCTTATGTATCTTCATCTCAAAATATCTTGAAAATGAAGAGGTCTAGAAAAATTCATCATAAAATGTTTCTCGTAGTCCTTGGAATTCTCCACAAAAAAGTCTCCTCGAGGATTTACCTAAATCTCTTCGCTGCGAAGCTATAAACTAAATAACAGCTTGAAACGTGTAAAATGAAATTCATGAAAAACCCCATGTCAAAAGTTATTGTTGACACGGGGAAAAACCCCATGCATCATGAAAATAAATTTTGTATCATTATTGATTGATAAATGACTTGTTTCTTTTTTCACTTTCATTTCTCATTAGTATCCCAATGAAAACTACATTTGTTATTATCATGCATTACGAAAAAAATCGCAATTCAATTTTTTTTCATTTATCATTGATAGCCCGGTGGCCTGGCGTAGTGGTTAACGCCGTTGCCTCACAACGGATAGGTTCCAGGTTCGATTCCTGGCCGGGTAGAATGGTGAGATCTAACCATTTTTAAAGTCTTGATCAATCGCCATATAGTCTCATCAGACTCGAAGCGATATAAAATAAGCATAAAAAAAAAAAATTTATCATTGATATGGTAATGAAATATTAATAATGGAAATTCTTTTCCTGCCGATCTCTGCAGTGTATCTTCTCAGAAGTCCCCCTAAACCCCTTCCTTCGCAGATATTTACAAAATAACCCCAGTCTAAACGTCGCACGCATGAAAATAGTTTGTATAGAAATTTTCTATACCTATTGCGTATAGAAATTCTATAGGATTTTCGTATAGGATATTCGGATATTTCTATACGAATTATTTCTATACATGAATTTTTACATAAATTTTTGTTTTCATACGAAAGATGTCTAAACGCTCCAGAGAAAAACGTAGAAAAATGTCGCAACTCCATACGAAATGTTTCTATACATGTGGCAGTGGGTCATATAGGATCAAACCTATAGAAATTGTATAGAAATAATTTGTATAAAAAATATCCCAAAAAAAATATCCGAATATCATAAGGGAGAGAGGGGTAAAACGGCCCTTTTGACTTTTTTGTGATGCTCTTAACTCTGGAACAAATTCATTAATTGAGATAAGTCTAGGCTCATTCTAAAGGGGAAGAAGTGTAGTTTCTATGGAAAAAAATTATTCTATTTTATTTCAAATCGAATGAGCCGTTAACATTTTTGAAAACATCAAAAGAGGCCGTATTACCCCACTCTCCCCTATACGAAAATCCTATAGAAATTCTATAGGGAGGTTGGGATAAAACGGACACTTGACTTTTTTTAAATGTTAATGAGGAGTTGAAATGTTGATAACATTTAATAATTTTTTTTTTCAATAAAAAGAACAATTCTGTTCTTTTGTGACGCGCCTAAACTGCGCTCAATTAATAAATTTGTTTCTGAGTTACGAATAACTAAAAAAAGTCGAGTGTCCATTTTACCCCACCCTCCCCTTCGCAATCGTGAGTTACCCCCCTCCAAATCACCTTTTTATGCAAAACATTGCATAGCATCTTCGACAGTCCATGTTTCTGCTTGATAGCCTCGTCCAGAAGACTCCTCAGCTGGTCCACAGAATCCTTATTAGAAGAATGCAGGAGCCTGAGTCCCTGAACGAAATGTGAATCCAAATCCGAATGTGTCATCTCGCTCTACCTAACGATCTGCAACAGAAGTGAACAGAAGTATCCGATCAAAAGTGAGGTTATACCGCCTCCCGACACCTGCAGCATAGAGAAACCCCCAAACCCCCAAAAAAAATCAAACCCAGAGACCAGAAACCAAAAAATCAGAAACAGTCACCCAACCCCTCATAAAACAATCATTTCCTGATGAAAAAAATCAATTCATGGAGGCGAAAACCTCATGTTTACCGTGTCCGAAACCTTCCGAACCCCGAAAACCCCGAGCCCGCAGTGAATTCCCTCCCAGAGTCCTCTGAGTCTCTCCACCCGCCTCATTCTCCAGAAATGAGAGACGAGAGTGAAAAAAATCCGCGGAAACATTGACCGAAGGGAGACAAAAATAGTCACCACCCCTGCATATCCAAATCCCCCCCCCCCTTCGAAAACCCAAACCATCCACCGAAGAATGAAAAAACAAGAATCGAACGAAAGCGAAAAGGAAGAAATTACAAAAAAAATAAATCTCGGATCCATTTGTTGGAGCTCTCCGCTGGTTTCGCCTCCTCAGGTGCATCTGTGCATTCTCCTCAGTTGCATATTTGCTTGAGAGACGGCTGGCCAACTTTTCGACTGGCAGTTGGCAGGCGTGCGTAAAAGAAATAAATAATCAAAAGGCGACCATGAAGTGACAAATAAAATGTTGGTCCGAAGTACCCGAACAAATCCAAAAGAGTAATTCCCCGGGACAAACAGCCCCTTTCCCCCAGTGACTAATCCCCCCGGGGGCACCCGAAGCCACCAAAATCGACAGCAAAAAAATATCCCCCCCCCCCTCTTCACCGCCAGCAATTAAACAACAGTTTTATGAAAACGTGGATTGTGGGTAAAGACGCGCGAGATTGGGTTTTAGTGGTGTGAGAGGGACTGTTTCATGGGAATAGTTGAAGAGTTGAAGTGAGAGAGACTGTTTTGAGGTGCAAAGAGAGGAGGCAAGGTTGCAAGGAGGCCGCCGCCACCGCCGCCGCCACCGCGCGCTTTAATCCCAATCGTCGCCTTCTATCCTCTCTTCTCGATGCTGAGGGGGTGACATTTGGAGTAACACTTGCATATTTGAGGAAGAGTGAAGGAGAAAAAAACGAAGAAGGAAGTAGTGTAACCCCTGTGTGTGCCAACTTGACAAGTTATTCGCACTCGGTTTTATTTCTGAAATCAGTTGTCGCCGAGTTGATTGTGGTTATTTCATTGTTGTATTATTATTCGGTGTTGGAATGAAATCGAGGTGAAAACAATAAGTGTGCGGTGGGGTGGGGGTTTTTTTTTTTGAGGGTTTGGAATGCTCAGTATGCAGCAGAGTTATTGAGGAAAAAGTCCATTACTGAGGCTTTCCTGATTTAATACTCGAGTTATGAATTAATACTCGTGTGTGGGGACATTTGTGTTGAGTTGTTTTCGTTTTTAAACTCGTTATTTCGTCGATCTGGCGATTGCCTGCTGCTCTCCACTCCGAAATCGCTCCACTCGGCCGTTGTTAACCTCACTATTGGGCTCTCGGAGTCGAGGGAATTCCGATAGTATATTGTAAACAATTGAAACAGGAGACGATTGAACGAATAAACAAGAGGGAGGAGGTGTTGAGAGGGTGATGAAAATGATTTTGTCTGCTCGGTGGATGGAAAGTTATTAGCAAAACGCTGTAAAATGAAAACAGAGAAAAAACAGAACGAACAGAATTGCATACCTAGTGCGGCGGTTAAGGAGGAGGCTGAGGGGGATGGGGTTAAAATCAAGGAGGAGGGGAATGGGGGAAATCACGAGGATGCAACTGGTGATGATGGGAATGATGGTCAGAGAGATGCTGGCTTGGATCAGGGTAATGGTGACGGGGGTATGCCCATTGACAATCAGAATGGCACGGGGAGCCAGCCAATGCTGAATTCGGTTAAGCAGGAGAGTGAGCACAGTAATGCTAATGATGATTTGACGACTGGTGAGTGATTTTTTTTTGTTTTTGGCGAGGGGCGGAGGGGGGACTTGGGGCTGGCGGAGCTTTTGATGAGGATTTGGGGTTATGGGGTGGGGGTGTTTTGGGAGGATTTTTTTGAGGGGAATGAGAGCTAGAAGCAAGTCGAAACGATGATTTTTCGGTCCAAGATATTTATTCAATAGGGGAGGTTGGGGTAAAATGGACACATTTAAGTTTTTTTTTAATGGTAATGACAGGTTGAAATGTTGATGAAATTTAATTTTTTTTTTCAATGCAAAGAACAATTCTTTCGCTTTGTGATGTGCCTAAACTGAGTTCAATTTATAAATTTTGTTTCTGAGTTATGAGTAATTTTAAAATAGTCTAAAGTGTCCGTTTCACCCCACCCTCCCCTACTTATTTTAGAGGAAATCATCAGGAAGGATGATTTTAGTTATGGGTATCTGGGGGTATGAGGGAAATAGGTCGATTTCTGTGAGGAACTTCTTGTGGGACAATATAAAAGCTACAAAAAGGTTTTTATGGAAATTTCTATATCTCTGATAGATTGCAAGATATTCAAAATTGATTATGAAGCACATAATTAATTAACACAACATAAGAGCTACAAAAAAGTTTTTATAGAAATTTTTATATCTCTGCAAGGTATTCAAAATTAATTTTGGAGCGAATAATGAAAATGAATGAGTCAACTTGATGTTAAAACCCATGATTTTTTATGAACGTCTAGGGATATAAGGGAGAAAGTGAGATTTTAGAAGGACGTTTTTGTAGAGAGTAATGAGTACTATAAAAAAGTCTTTAAAGGTATTTATGGAAATTTCAGTGTAAAGGGAGGACTGGTACAGAATGAGTTAACTTCAAATTCACTGGATAATTCTGAATCTGAAGGAGATGGTGAAATTTTCATTCAATACTCATTCTGAAGTTAAATAACGAAGATGAATGAGTCAAGTTGACGTTGGAAAGGATGATTTTAGTTATGGGTATCTAAGGGTATGAGGGAAATAGGATGAGTTCTGTGAGGAACTTCTTGTGGGGCAAAATAAAAGCTGCAAAAGGGTTTTTATGGAACTTTCTATATTCCTGAGAGATTGCAAGATAATCCGAATGATGAAGATGAATGAATCAACTTGATGTTAAAACCCATTTTTTATGAATGTCTAGGGATATAAGGGAACAAGTGAGATTTTATAAGAAACTTTTCAGTGATAGGCATATCAATCTATCATAATTACCGTTAAATTGTGAAGCTATCAGCTTTTAACGTAAATCTTAAAATTTTAAATATTAAAGTAACCATCAATTTGTACATTTAAATTTCGAAATATTCTAACTAATAATTTAGGTAGGAAGATTGACGATTATTTGGATAATCGAAAATCAAGTACCTGAAGTTAGAATTAGCTTGATAACTAAAAAATTACATTTCAGAATTATCAAATATTTTATTCACCATCAATCGAAAAATTTAGCTAATAAATTCTATAATATTTAAAATTTGTTAAATATAGTTAAACTGTGAACAATGTAACGAGATAATCCTTTTTAATATTGGCAAAATGTAATATTATTGCCTATCCTTGAACCTTTCTAAAGAAATTGCAGAGTACTACAAGAAGGTATTTATGATTATCCCACTATTTCCCATAGCTTTAGAGATATTTGTGGGGATTTCAGTGTAAAGGGAAGATTAGAACATCATAAGTCAGCTTCAGATTCAGTGGATACGTCTGAATCTGAAGGAGATAGTGAAATTTTTATGGGGACTTTTATTGTGCAGCGAAGTAATAGTTACAAAAAAGATCTTCACGATGGTTTTGCTATCTCCCGTGGATTCCAAGATATTCATTCAAAACTAATTCTGGAGTGAAACGAAAAAAACTGGGTAAACTCCAAATTTATTGAAGTGAGAGAAGTTTTATAAGATCTCATTTTCTATACCAAAATGGTAGCTAGACAAAATGTTTCTATAAAAATTTTGGCATTTCTGACAAATCCACGCAAAAGTCATCGTAATGTCAAAAACTCAGAAACAATGTTTTTAACAATTTCTTTGAACCCGAAAAATATGAAAAAATGTTCATAAGAATCTTTTTTTGTAGATCCCGCCTTTTTCTCAAGAAAAGGTTCTCACAAAACTCTGATATCTCATTAATTTAAAGACAAACAAAAACTCACGTTGAACTAAACTTGTTCAAGTTTAGTTCAACATAACATCAGAAGAGATGAATTATCGATAGGTATTTCTGTACCTAAAGGAGATAGTGAAATGAGGACTTCAATTATCACCTTTTCTGCATTGTCGCATGAGGTCCTCCCAATATTTGTTGATATCTCTATTAGATTCAGAGTTATTTCCCCCTCAAAAAATAAGCAATGAGAATTTTCGAAGAAAATTAATTCATCTTGTTTTACTACTCGACTACTAAATGGTATTGTTGGCTTTCTTGCGAATGTTGGTAATATATTTGTGTTTTTGTTTCAGATAACATTCAGCCATTAGTTAGCAACGTCCTGGGTAAACAAATGGGTGGTGGTAGCTGTGGAGAGGCCCAGTATATGCAACAACAGAGCCAGATTTTTGTATTCTCGACGCAATGGGCTAATAAGGGAGCTGAGGCAGTGCTCCAGGGACAATTTCCCTCGATCGTTGCCTACCACTGTTCACAGCCACAGACGAAGAAATATCTTGAGGTAAATTGAATGGAGTTTATTGGCAAAATCATTAAAATTGGAAGAGGCAGCGTGAAATAACAGCTCAACTTCAACGTGAACTTGTATAAATATTTTTGGATATAATATGATATGAAAGCTTTTCGTTTATGCTTTGGCGTGACAATTACAATGACAATTCCTGAGGACAGCCAGAATGATTGTTGCAAGTTTTTAAATCATGAAAAGAATAAGAGAAATGAATGGATCTAAGAGAGATTGATACGTTTTCGTCAGAAAATGAAAATGTTCTATTCTCTGAAATATGTTATTATAGTTTTTCTTTTGATAAATTTTAATAAAAATTTGTAATGAATTTAGCTAAAAGGGAAATGAAAATTAAATTAATACAAGGGAGTTAGGAGTGATTTTTGGATCAGTATTTTTCCGCCTAGAAGGAATAGGAGTTTTTATACAACCGTTTTTTAAATGTAAAGCAGAATTTCCATGGAAAGTTCGATATCTCGATTCGATTCTAAAGTGTTCACCAAAAACTTTAATATGAATAGACGAATTTTTATGAATTCAATTTTTGTGAAGCAATGCTGAAGCTACTAAAAAGGTCCCTATACAAATTGCAATGAATATTTTCTTTGAATACCAAAATGTTCCTCAAGTAATTCTCTAAACAATTCGGTCATTTAAAAAAAAAGAAATTGGATCAGTAGTTTTTGAAATTTTCAGCAAAAGAGTTTCATATCTAAAGTTCAATATTTCTGAAACTAGTGGTTCGATTTCGCTCATCCAGAACTCCAAACTTTGTTATTATAAGACCTAAAATCCTACCAATTTTCAAGATTCTGTCTCGATTATTTTTTAAGTTATAAGTTATCTATCATATCGTACAAGTAATTTCAGTGAAAAAATGAAAAAAAAAAAAAACGAGAATAAAACTACATTACCCGGGGTAGCATGGTCTTTTTTTCGATTTAATGAAATCGATATATTGTGATGAGGCTTTTAAAAGAACTAGACCGAGCGCGACCTACAGCGCGCTGTAATTGTAACAATCATAAATGAAAATCTCAAAATTAAATTAATCATGAATTAAATTTGCCGCCTCAGACGACTGGAACCAATGAGGGATAAGCGTGACAGCCTTGCGAGATATCGATAGTTATCGACTTTAAGTGTATGTTCTTTTTAGAGTAGGATTGAATCGGATTCCTCAAAAATATTTTTGAAGAATGGCTATATGTCAGGAACCACTCGATCGATCGAGCTGAAATTTAGCACAAATTTGAGTCTCAGTAGTACTAATTAGCAGCCAGAATTTCAGCGTCTTTGCGTTAACCATTTTCGAGTTATCGGGACAGTTCTGGTCACACAAACACACGTGTGCACACATATGCGTACATACATACAGAAATTTCTTAAAAACATTTCTGCATGTTTCATGACATTTCTAGACATTTCCACCCAAAGTTAAGAAATAGAAAAAAAATCACAATTTCATAGCTTCCATCCAGAAGCAAAGTAAAAAAATAAATCATTATTTCTGTGCTAATTCTGGAATGGAAAGCGATCGTCTTTCATAGTTTCGAAAGGAAGAAAAATTGGAGAAGCTTTGGTAGTGAAGCTTTGGTAGTGAAGCTTTGGTATGTCTGCTAGGTGTGAAAGTTTATCAAAGCCGCGTAATGCAATTTTTGTTTATTCCCACAATCTTTGAGATACAAATGGTTGTAAACTTATCGCGCTCCAGTTTAAGCAAATTTTTCCATGCAAACCTCCTGAGGGAGGTGTAATCTATTTGCATTCGTCACCCCTCGGTACATGTTTTTTTATCTTTGCAATTACTTCTCCAATTGTTTGAGGACAGCTATCGTTAACGCCGACTTATCAAAGTACTCAGAAACTATTTGAAATTTCGACGTTAAACGTTCGATAGTGAGGACAGAAATTATTGCAATTTTCTTTCAAGTTATTTCAAATTGGTGATAATTTTCTACAATCAAGTGGTCATTGAGAATCACTTCAAGAAAATTACGACAAGGCTATCATTGAGCTATGAATAATTACGGGTATCGAAGTAATAATGTCTATTCAGTCAGAAGAACAAAAAAAAAGAACATTCAAATTCTAGGAGACTTCATGTAGAACATCAAGCAGTAAAAATTCTGTGAAGATTGAGCAGAAACGACCGCACAAGAAAATTTTGGGAATTAAGGCCCGGGTGTACTATCTTTCGAACGTTATATCGATAATATTTTTTTTCATTTTTCGACATCTGAAATTGTCAATTAAGTCCTGCATCATGCAGAAGTTTTGAAAAATTATGAATGAATAATCAAAAAAAAAGTAGAAAAAATTCTTAATTTTTTCAAAGAGCATTTTTAATTTATATTCAGAATAAGTTGAATAACAAGAATGAAAATAACAAATGGCGGCCTGTCACCCAATATCATGCGGGGGGAAGACTGATTTCGTAAATCTTTTCCCACACTGCAGAGATATTTATTACGGAAACGGCTCTTTGAAAAAAGTTGTAATATTTTGGAGAATTGTTTAATCACACTTTTATCACATAAAAATGGCAGATGACTGCATACTACTGTTTTGAAAATTGACATATCTAGCTGTCAGTTCCCATGAGGAGTAGGTGTTTTATTATCCACCATGGAAAATGACAGCTAATAGATAATTTGCCACAGCGAATCAGATATTTGTAATTTCCACTTTTATCAACTCATTCTGAATCTTAATTAAAAACGCTCTTTGAAAAAGTTCAGAATTTTTCCTATTTTTTTTTATCATTCTATCATAATTTTTGGGAATTTCTACATGATGTACCACTCAATTGCCAATTTTGGATTACGAAAGATAAAAAAATCCAGATAACATTCAAAAGATAGTATACCCGGGCCTTAATCGATTTTACTTTATTTATTATTTGTTCACAATTTAAAGTAGTACAAACATAACATAAATTTCAAGAGAATTAATATTCCAACCGCCAGCATGAGCATTCAAATTCCTCCTATTCCTCCAGGCCATTTCGAGGTTTTCAGTAATTTTAACAATCAAAAGTGAAATCAGCTATAAATTTCGATCAATTTGCCAACTTTTCAAGTGGTACAGCCACTCCTCATCCGTGCAATTTATTAAATTTCCATCTATTTAAAAAAAACTATTTTGACTTCAAAATCCCACAACAAATTAGAGAAATTCCAAAAACAAATGAATCTAGCCGCCGTCCTTACATCACCTCGGAGCAAATAAAAACATCCTATTAAACGGCTACTATTAAAATTTACAATATGTCATTGAGAACATACAATCTCAATGCAAAAAAAAAAACAAACAAAAAAAAAGAAAAGAAACACCGTTTATATTATCAAACGGATAATATAACAATATCAAATCACCAATATTATCTTTGTGGGATCTTTGTTTTGATTACATTTTCAAAAATTTTTCTCAAGTCAATACAACCTAACATGACAAATACAACACTAATGCACTAATAACTTGAATTTGGAAGATTAATATCCTGTTCATTATTGTTATTTATGACCGCATAATGGCCTCAAGGTGTTTTTTATTAAGTTTAAAATTCGAAATAAATTCTAAATGAAAGGTAATATGAATAGAAACTTTCTGGTTGAGTTTGAGCTCAATCGACAGTCCAGTGTTATTGAACTTATTTATTATATGTGTCCAATATGAAAATTATGGTCAATGTTAAACTTTTGCAATAAAACTCAATTTATTACCCTCATCAAAGTTGGACTCTCTGAAAAAAACTGTAAATGATGAATACATTTTTGTTGCTTTTTGAATTCAGTAGCGAAGTGGTAAAACAGTTCAAGTTGACTTACTCCTTAGTTTTCGAGGAATATCTCTGGATCTAACAGGGATAACAAAATTTTCGTGATGACCTTTTTTGTAGAGCAAAGTGAGGGCCAGAAAAAAGTTTATAACAAAAACTTCGCTATTTCCCTTACATTCTGAGATATTCATTGAAAACTCAGCAATAGTTAATATCGACCTAAACCGTAAAATCGACGTAAACCTAAATATTCAATGAAATTGTAATTTTCATAGTCATCTGACAATGAAAAGGATTGAAAATTGTGAAAATGCAATTGAATGTGATGTTCAATTTTCCCAATGAATTTAATAATTCAAGCTGTCATTGAAATATCAATTGAGAGACTAACTCACGTTCTCTCCACGTTTTGATCGTGAATTGAATTCAAATTCTCGAAATTGCGTTCATACACAACTATTACTTGAATTTCAAAGAATTTCCAACAGGGTAGTATTTTTTGATTGAAGAATATTTCTTTCTCGTTAAGAGATATTCTTCAAAAAACGATTTCATGATATTCAATACTTAAATCAGTTGTTCTCAAGATAATGGCAAATTCAACAGAGACACTTCACTCCCGAATGTATCACATCTTTTCTACTACAATTATTTTTCTTGTAAAATTTTTATGAGATAAAAGAACAATTTGTGCAATTCTGTCGTCCATCATGTCTTTGTTTCGTATTTTTCAAAATTCCAATTGCAGAAACAATGTTCCGTGGAATATATAACTTCGTATGAAATCAAATAAAATGAGATAATTACGAGAAAAAAAAAATTAGCCGATTGAAATGGTTTGACTTGCTTTCGAACATGTTCGTTTTTCTCTCAGTGTACAGACGTCTCATAAAATCACGTACATTTCATTTCAGAAACACCCCACGAAGATGAATCAATTCCGTCAAAACCCAGCGCAATGGTTAAACAACATTGCAATGATGAAGCAGAAGGGTCATCACCAGCCCCCAACCCCCAACTTCCCCCCGGAGCAGCCAAGTGACTTGCCACCCCTGGACCCAACAGCTCCATTCTGGAACGATCAGCCGAACCTCCGTAATTTAAATGGCAGTAATGCAGCAGAATCCACACTTGATGATACGAATATAGATGTGCCTTGTCTCGGTCCAAGTTCACCGGGTAATCAACCGACTAATAGTCAACCACCTGGTAATCCAGCAATGGGACAGAGTCCTAATTTACTCGGTAGAACGAGCCCCGGTGGTCTCCAGCCATCACTTCAGGGTGTTAAAGTTCCAGATGAGAATTTAACACCTCAGCAGAGACAACACAGGGAGTCACAGCTCGCTACGATAGGAAAACTGCAGATGATGCTCTTCCCGGAACAGAAGGACGACTCAACTGGCCTGCTGGATCCAGCCCATGTACCTCCAGCTGGCAATTGTCCTGCCGGCAATGTTCCCCCTGTGAGTACACCTGGAGGACCTTGTTCGACGAATATGGAGTGGCACAAGCTGCAACATTCGTTTTTGGATGGAAAGAATAAGGTAATTATGGTACCTAATGTCTATTAGACGACTAGACCATTAAGGGGTGGTTCACCCCGGGGAAAAAACTTTTACGTTTTTCGAGAAAAAAAATGTTCAAGGCCCGGGTGAATTATCTTTCGAACGTGATCTTGGTTGTTTTTTTTTATTTTTGATAATCTGAAATTATCTCCAATTGCTATTCAGTTTTATATAGCCCTGGAGTCTCCAAAAATTATGATTGTACAGTAAGAAAAAACGTTGAAAAAAGCTGAACATTTTCACAGAGCGTTTTTGAATAATATTGGGAAATAAATCCAATAGGGAAGAAATTGCAAATTAATAATTTGATGTGTCTAATGGCTGTTAGGTCGTCATTTGTCACAGTAGTCAATGACTGTCAGATCATTAGTTACAATGATAAATTATTAAACACGTTCTTTGAAAATGTTCAGTTTTTTGCTTCCGGATGGAAGCATTGAAATCTTCGATTTTTCGATTCTCTAATTTTGCCTGGAGATGATGTAGAATGGTCTGAAACGTAAAAATACGAAGTTTGAGGACCCATGTATGTATGTGCGCGTGGTCAACTTGATCCACTTGATGGTCAACGTTTAGAAAATTAAACGAATAAAGGGCTAAAATAATTCCAAAAAATTTGAAATTTTGTGAGATTATAGGTATTAATGAGGACTAAGTCTGTGCTAAAGTTCAGCTGAATCGCTTCAGCCATTTTTGAGAAATTACCATTTGTTTTTAAATCGTTTTTTGCAAATATCCCGAAAATTATCCAACCGATTTCAATTTTTTTTTTTAAATACTCGGCTTGATGTCTTGTATCGCAATCTATGAAAATATCTATACCCGTTCGTATAAAGTTTTCGAGATATTTCTATGTTTCGGTTTTTCACTGAAAACTTTTGTTAGGACTCTAGTTTTCTAAATAATTAACATATTAACTTGAAATTTGGCACAAAGTTTTCTCTTGGCACTAAAATGTTTGGTATTGAAGATGGGCTAAATCGGATGAATAGTTTAGGAGATATTCGACTTTGTATCCAAATCTATTTTCTTGAATATCTCAAAAACTACTTAACCGATTTCTATTTTTGTTTTCAAAATATTCATCTCAATGTCTCCTATTCCAACCAATTGGAATATGCACAATTCATGCGATGTTCCCGAGAAATTCAAATTTTTCGATTTTTCGCTAAAAATCCGTCTTTGCACTCTAACTTTGGAAAAAATTGACATATTAATCTGAAGTTTGGCACGAAGTTTCTTCTTGTTTTACTTGAAAATTGAGAAAATCGGAGAATTTAAGTCTTACAGAAACTGAAATTTTTTATTCACTACAAAACAGAATTTTTATCTTCTTATTATTTTTTAAAAATAGAATTGCAACGGATCCATTAGGAAGCTACCAATGAAATTGGTAGAGGTCAAAGATAAAAAGACTAACACCGTGTAAAGAAACAATCATATCTCTTCAGTTGAATAGGCTCGGCCCCCTGCTTGTTTCTACTTTTTGCTTCCGAATGGAAGCATTGTAATCGTGCTGTTTTCACATTCTCTAATTTTAATTGGAAATGATGTAGAATGGTCTGAAACGTAAAAATACGAAGTTTGGCGACCATGTCTGTCGGTGTCAATGTCCATCGCCACCTTTCCGGTGGTCAATTTTTGGAAAATTGAGTAATTAATTGGCTAAACTTATTCCAAAAAATCTGAAATTTTGTCAGATTATAGACCTTAATAAGGACTAACTCTGTGCAAAAGTTCAGCCCGATTGATCAAATAGTTTTTGAGAAAAAGCTATTCGTTTTTAAATCGTTTTTCGCTAATATCTTCAAAAATTGAGATATCAACTTGAAATTTGTACAGAATCTTCCTCTCATGATAACAATACTTCCTATTGAAAATGAGCTCAATCGCATAGGTAGTTTCCGAGATATTAGACTTTCTCTGAAAACCTTTTATGTGCAATAGCTTAAAAACTACTCAATCGATTTCAATTTTTTTTTTCAAAATATTTGTTTCGATGCCTTCTATCCCATTCGGAAGCTTACTACCAATGGAATTGGTAGAAATGAAAGAAAGAAAAGGAGTTATAACACATAAAGTAACGGTCAGGTGGCTTCGGCCAAAAAGGCTCGAACCCCTGCTTGTTTTGATTGTACAATCATAACTTTTAGGGACTCCTGTGTGATGTAAAATCTAATGGAAATTGTAATATATTTTACGACAACGTGACTAATCTTGTTCAGATGAACATATTCCTCCGCTGTCCTTCAACCAGCAAAATATCACATTTAATTGAGTATAAATAGTTGTGAAATTTCTTAGGATATATACTCACATAATTATTTTGCTTATAGATGGTGTAATCAACTAATTAAAATCCATATATAAGATGTCAGAATTAATCACTTCTGCATCTATGAATTCCTTTCATCAAAAAGGTGTTGAATAATTTCCAGTCATGAAGCAAAGCCAAATCGGAGAATCAATTTATTACAACACCAAAATCCAACTGAATATCTGACCTGTGTGTGGAAATTCTATAAATCCCCCCACAACACATTCCAGAGGCCCTAAGCCACTGTGTTGCACCGAGAAAAACAAAGTTTTTTGAGAAGTACGTCTTATATCAAGAAACCTGTGAGTTAAAAATTTTCAAGAACAAAATATCTTGGACTAAGAAAAAAAAACGTTCGTCAAAAAATTTTGTTTTTGCCCCAAAGACGAGGACAATTTCTTGATGATAAGAAAGCCATTTCTCAAAGCAAATAAAATCGAATTCATTCATTTAATAGTTTTTTAGCCTCAATTCTAGAATATTTTAATGTAAAAACCACTTGAACTGATTTGATATGAACCAATTGCTCTCATCTTTCGGACAAGTAGAAAATTTCTTGTCGTAAGATTTTTTTTCTTAGTGTGAGATATTGTGCGCTTGGTAATTTTCAAGTCATGAATTTCTTGATACAAGTAAAGATGTACTTTTCAAAAAACTCTTGTCTTCTCAGTGTGGAGAGCGACTTTTTAAAAATTTATATTATTGTTTGTACTGATAAACCATGGAGTTTGATGTATAAATTATTGACATTAATTTGGAGTCATATATTGTATCATATTACCAAAAATTCAAAACTATATTCATCGGAATTTTACTGATTTCTGTGAATTTTCAGAAACTGATGGGACTAATATTTACAGTTCTCATTAATTTTTCCATGAAAGTCTGAATTTTCAACGGTGAAATTCCTTGAAATTTTGTTGAATTGAAATGTGATAAAAATTTGCAAGAATTTCAGTCAAAAATTTTTAACAGTGTTCCACTTTTAGATTCACAGATATTTATCAAAAACTCATGTGTCCTGAAACGTAATTAATTTGACCTGTGTCATCGTTTCGCTTCAGGATGAGTTCTTGATCAACATCTTGGATTCTGAGAGATAGGGAACTTTGTGAGGACCCTATTGCAGCTCCCATTTCGCTCTACAAAAAATCTGCTTTGATAAATTGCACCATCTCCCGTAAATTCGAAGATACTCATCAAAAACTCACACTAGAGAAGAGTTGACTTCAAATGAAATGAGCTTGAACTGTACTCCCATATTGTTCTGCATGTCTTTGAAACAGAGAAATTGAAGGAGTGAGAAGACTGTCAAGCGATACGGGCAATATCTTTTGACAAATTTTCACGTTGTGCTTCACGTTCAATGTTTGACGTTTCTCTCATTATTTCTGGCTTCTAAATTCAGAAGTTGAGGATGTTATGAAGGTTCTGTTCAATGTGATTGTCCATTCTAAAATATTGTTTTACAGTTCATCAATTTGAGTCGATTGATTCATTGCAAATTTAATTAGGTAAACGTGCTATTTATCAGCCATTATTTTTCCCACAATTGATCAAATAGGTGGAGGATATTCCAATAATTCCATTATCCTCTAACTCCATGGCGAATGAGTTGAGCCATTAAATTCATCTGGCAATCGGACGTGAAATGGCCATCAACTTATTATTTCACAAAAGAGTTATTTTAATATTGAATCTCACAGAAGCGTTTCCCAATCCTAGAAAATTCTGTTAAAAACCTCTGTCGAGAATTACTCTTGAAATCACTTATTATGGATATCCGAGTATTTTTTACAGTTTGGTACAGCCCATACTAGTGATTCATCCACTTTCAATCATTAAATTTGTTAATTAAATTGCAGTAGAACAATTTGAAAAAATCATGAATATTCACCGACATTCACAGTAATTTTGCACAGAATTATTATTTTTTTACACATTCATTGTTTATAAATAAATAATTTAAATTGTTTACACTTTCGGAAACCTTATTCTTTAGGCAAGGAATCGATTTCTGGTAAAATTCGAAATATGAATAAATTTTTTACGATTCCGAGCAAATAATTTTTATAATGGAGAATTGATTGTTTATAAGTTATTTATAGAAAATGCTCGTGATTTTCAAAAATTACATTTTTTATTATTCGATCAATCTTCCTCCAAAAGTAAACTTTCTAATTTTTTTTCAGATTTTGAAAATGTTTTTTAACGATTCAATATCAAAATTCAAAGTCAGACCTGCAAAGTTTAAATAATAAAATCATTGTAAAATGTCCGGAAACTTATGGTTAAATGGGGGTCAAATGAAAGTTCTGATGTCCGACTACAAAAGTAGAAAAGCATTTAACTGGAGAAAAAATAGTCAAAGTACTTAGATATTTTTAAGGATTCAGTTTTGTACAATTTGCTACAGACCACACTATAGAATCATCCATTTTCGATCATTAAGGGACTACTATGAGTTTTAAAAGTCGTGAGTTGTTGAAATGCGATTTCTCATGCATTGAAGATCGATTATATATGTCCAAAAATGAATAATTATAACAAAAAAATTAATTGTTTATTGTTCGTTTGTCCCGCAAACGCTTCAAATATTAAAAATAGTTCAGGGCTTCCCCTTTTTGAGCTACAGAGGTTTCTTTTTTTCAAAATTTTTGAAAAAATATGTACAATGACAATTACGAATTAGTTTTTTATAATGCAACTCCTACACAACTAATTTCGTTATTTTTTTAAATAAAAAATTACACCATTCACGTAAAAAAGCCCGCAAAATGTTTCTGAAAGAATTGAGAATATCTTTTAAATATTTTAAGAATAATTTTTCTGCCTATTTTATATTGTAATATGAAAATTTTTATTTTAAACAAAACGAAGTTAGTTGTAGGAGTCGAATTTCAAAAAACGAATTGGTAATTATTAATGCACATATTTTTTCAAAAATTTTGAAAAAAAAAACCTTTGTAGTTCACAAATTGGAGGCTTTTCAGCATTTTAAACGTATGCGGAGCAAACAAACAATAAACCCTTAATTTTTTTGCACTAATTATTCGTTTTTAGACATATATAATCAATCTTCAATGTATGAGAAATCTCACTCCAATCGCCCGCGGCTTTTAAAACGCACAGTAGTCTCCCCTAATTTGTCAATTAAATTGTGTGAGAAAAATTTGAAAAAAACATTGCATATTCAGTGCCATTTGCATTACATTTTGCACAGAATTATTATTCTTTCAAACATTCTTTGTTTATAACCAAATAATTGAAATTGTTTAAACTTTCGAAACCTTTTTCTCGGCATGAAATCGATTTCTGGTACACTTCTGAATTCAAATAAACTTCTTACGAACTTGAATCGTTTTACCGTTTCGCTACTGACGTTATGAACAAGATGCTCACATCAGGGGCCATCCATAAATCACGTGATCCAATTTTGGCTCATTTCTGACCTCCTCCCCCCCTGGTGATCAATCGTGACATTTCGTCGACCCCCCCCCCCGGCATGTTATCACGTGTGTTTTTTTTTGTCAAAGCTCAGTATGAAAAATGATCGCTTTTGAAAAAAAAAAATTTTTTTTGTGTTAAAAAGACAACTCTTTTATACACGTCTAATGAACGAAAAATAATTTTATTCCAGAAACAAATCGTTAAAGTATATGAGTCATAGTTTCATCTCTTAAGTATATTAATTTCAATAGTACGTTTCGATATTTGATATCGATCACTCTGCAAATAGTTCCTCTTTGTAAATAGCCTTTTCTATCGTGTCTCTTTGGGAAAAGTCTCTATATTAGCACGTTTCGTACAGAAGAGACTCTGAATTCATGAGTCGTCATCAATCCAAGGATTGTTAAAACATTGTTCAACACTAACAAACACTCTACTGTCAGGGTTCAAC